TCTGGAGCAGACAGTGGATCTAATCTTTCTTTATGGTCACTCACTGCTGCTGGCTACAGCCGCTTGTTATTTCCCAATTGAGCAGAATGAAAAAAACAAAAGTGAACGGGCATTAAAACGTTTTCTTTTTGTCTTTGGAGACTTGTTACCTTTGTGCTCTCCAGTGGCATTCTCTACCCTGCATTTTCTTGCACACTTGTGTAGATTTCACAACAGATGTGGTGTTACACTTTTTGGTGTGATAGTGAGCAGCTGTAAAAAGCGGCCCATTAGTGCTGAATCATTGCACGCCCACATACACACTCGCATACACACAAACAGAGCAAAAAGAGAGATACAGCTCTGTGTTGACCTACAAACAGTGGCGTCTCTAACGCTGAAGTTCTTTATAAACACATCAGCCTGCTTTTAGGACATGGAGAGTTTGTAAACTTGTTATTTTAGTGTTTTGAAGGGAACCGTTGCATTTTGGTTCAATGTGCAGTTTTTTTTCTTTTCATTAATGGTATTAATAAGAACACCTGCAATAAAGTGATTACTGGTAGAGTCAACGTGAAATCAAATTTGATTTATTTGTGCACGTTATCCTGTAAAATAACATGTTCAACTGCACATTGTTATATTTACAGTCAGTCTGTAATTTTCCTAATTAAAGTTTCGCCGCTCTGAAAGTTCAGTAAGTGAGTCAGATGTTGATTCAGTAACTGCTCTGACGGGTTCAGTGAGTTCATTCAGTGAACAATTCATCGGGCTGATTTAACACATGAGTTTGTGGGTGCTTTTGAATGATTCCCAATAGAAAACGGCTCATAAAAATCATTTGTTTGTGAATCAGATTGTTCTTGCTGTTTGTTTTTGCTTTACAGCCCCTCTCCTCGTTTTATTTGCTTTTCAGACGGTCTCTTTTGTCTCATCAGATTCAGCTCAGACTGTAAGCTCACAGCCCAGGTCAAATGTAGTTTAGTTTAGCTTGCAGATTCATGGTTTCAGGATTGACCTTCACGATCAACTTGAATTCAGGCCTGGTACTATTTTGCCATTTTATTTTTTATTCATTGAAGTTCACAACAAATCATGTTACTGAAGTAAAAATGGGATGCAAATGCTATATCATGACTTTACTTTAAACAGGAGCATTTGATGTCAGATTTTGTATTTTTACACTTTTTGACCATGCTTAAAGGAGTAGTTCACTTTTAAAAAAACTTTTGCTGATAATTTACTCACCCCCATGTCATCCAAGATGTCCATGTCTTTCTTGCTTCAGTCGAAAAGAAATGAAGGTTTTTGATGAAAACATTCCAGGATTTTCCATATAATGGACTTCAATGGGAACCAAACGGTTCAAGGTCCAAAAGACAGTTTCAGTACAAACTGTTACAAATGGCTTTAAACGATTCCAGACAATGAATAAGGGTCTTATCAAGCGAAACGATCGCTCATTTGAACAAATCTTTTTTCGTGTCATTTGGTTCATTCAACGAACGAAATGAACGATTTGTTCATTTTGATGAACGAGTTCGAACGGGAGAGTCACGAGCGCACATCACAGAACAGAGCAAGGCGACTATTTGAGCTTATAAAACTAAATCTTTGTTATTTATTTTTTACAATGTGCGATCGTTTCGCTTGATAAGACCCTTATTCATCGTCTGGTGTCGTTTAAAGCCCGTTGAAGCTGCACTGAAACTCTCATTTAGACCTTGAACCGTTTGGTTCCCATTGAAGTCCATTATATGGAGAAAAATCCTGGAATGTTTTCATCAAAAACCTTAATTTCTTTTCATCTGAAGAAAGAATGACATGGACATCTTGGATGACATGGGGGTGAGTAAATTATCAGCAAAAGTGAAGTGTTTTTTAAAAGTGAACTACACCTTTAATGCTACCCTCAAAACTTACTTTGGATTTTTAAAAACACACACAATGAAATCTCTGTTGGATGGTTTCTTGAATCAAAACTGCTCTCTCTCACATTGTAATTTAATAACCAAATTAGTGCAAGCCTCGGGGTCAGCGTCTCTGTAGAAGAGCATAACTGCCCCCTCAGATCCAGAAGAGTGACCCTGCAGACACCAGCCCAGTGTGGCAGAGATGACAAACAAGAGACGGGGGAACAGAAGTAGTCCAGTGTACAAGTTGCTTTGAATAGCTTCCAGTATTGTCCTTTGCTTGTAAAAGAGCTCTCTGTTCTTGTTAAAGCAACAAAATGGTGTGCTGGCCCTGGCCACCAGACTGCTCTCGCAGTGAACAACAGAAGGAGGGGCAGCCAGAGCCATGTTAACACTACTGAGAGAAACAAACCTTGATGTTTCCTCTCATTCTTCTACTAGAGGCAGTTCGGCATGAGAACGAAAGTGATCTAGATCCGGGAGAGTATTGTGAGACACCCGGATTACATTCTGATTTGTTGGGAATGGTCATAAAAAAAGGCACTGTAAACGACGAAGATCGAAACACTATAAACACACCTTCTGATGACCGTTTTCATCAGTTATTCCTTGGAGTAGAGCAACATTTTTAGGTTTAAGGTTCTTGATGTCTGATTCGCATGACTCTTGTGAACCATTTCAGTGAGTTCCACCAACGTCAAACCTGTTCTTAAGTTTGCGATTTGAATCCGTCGTCGTTGTTAATGCGTTCACAAGTGACTCTCACTGAACCACGCACATACTAGGGATTAGGGGTGTAACGATACATAAAACTGACAGTTTGGTTTTCCCATGGTTTTGACGTCTCGGTTCGGTTTAGAAAGCTAAAATTGCTTTTGTTGTTTTTAAACAGTGGTTTAATAAAAAAATTGTCTTTGTCTTTAAATTCATTCAATTAGAATGAATTGTTTCACAAGGATTAAAAAAAAAAATCTGCTAATGCTGTAAACTATATAGAGAGCCGCACATTACTATAACATTAAAGGTTGTAGCCTAGACTTTTAACCTAAATCCAGATGCTATTTATTTTTGTAGATATAATAAACACACAACGCATTGTATGAAAGCATGTAAACTGAATATAATGCAGTTTTTGCACTAACTTGTGTATTTACTCTAATTTGTTATTGAAATATAATAATTTACACAGTTTCAAGAAAGATATTTTAAACATACATTAAATAATCAAGATATCATTAACGGGTTAAGTAAAATATAATATATAGGCTAACATAGTGCATTTATTTAGTGCAAGAGTTCATTTATAGGAACCAAAGTTGTGGACACTGAATCACTGGCCTGTTGAGCTAAATATAATGCTAGTGACAAGCTAAAGCTATGCTGTTTTATTGACGACTTTCCGCTGCTGAAAAACTGATTGAGCGATTACACGAGTTATGATGCCTTTCATTAAGTATACTGTATCTTTCAACATACCTTCACGAGTCTTTTCTGTAACTGAGAAAGAGATGATCGCGTTTACTCGTGGTTCCGCTTGAAATGAGGAGCTAGTACAGCGATCTGCCACGCCGCATCAAAGAGCGCCAAAACGCCATTTATTGTTTGAATATCGTGATCAAATAGACAGAATTTGAAAGATTACACCATACTTATTATCTAAAGTAACAAAACACAGAGCTTGTTATTTGGTGTTGATGGTGGTTAGGCTACAAAACTGAATTTGTTGTGTACTGTACACATGAGCCGGCTGGGCGGGGCCGGGGTAGCAGGGGGCGGGGCGTGTTCGGTACGCAATGAGAGTATCGCGATTCGAATCGTGAGTTCTGTATCATGGTTTTTCGGTTCGAATATCGTTATACCCCTACTAGGGATGGGCATTTTAAAAAAATATATATATATCATTCGAATATTCATACACACGCCTAGAACATACCTGCGAACATGTTGCTTTCGGCGAGGTTTTCTGTTTTTACATTGAAATAAGCCAGTCTGGGTCAAGCCGGAGCGTTTTTATTTGAGGGTTTGGGTGGGTTCAAGCCTTCCTATAAGCCTTCCTATTTTTGTCCAAACTCATATTACTGTAAAGTTGTTTGAATCATATTTTTTTTTTGTTAATTTTTATGGTTAGGGATGTTTCTTTAGACATTGGTGTTGTTTTAAAACAGCGTTACTACCTAAATATGTTGTTCTTTCTGAGAAATTTCTTGAAACAATTTCAACTGCTGAACCCAAGAAATGTTTTAGATTTGTTTTTTTTGTTTTTCTTTTTTGACTGTTGATTGACGAGACTTACAGTACATCAGTTTATTTACTGGGTGCTTGTTTTTATGACAATGTGCAAATCAGTTTGGTTGTATAAACTAAAAATGGTGTTCTAAAAGCATTTCAATTTTGAAGAAAAATATTATTAGTAATGGTATAACATAGGCTGGTATAACAGAACCGTTCGTGTCTGTCGGTCATATAATGGAGGTCTATGGTCACCACCTCAAAGAGCATGCACAGAGAAGTCCAAATTAAACATGATTTAATGACTCGTAAATGTAAGTACACATTGATGGCATAAGAACGCCTCAGCCCTCAGATCACTTGGACGTGGCTGTGGTTACAAGAGGTAAAAACTATTTTAATACTGTTCGTTTTCTCCTCACACAAACCGCTCGTTTCGTGTCTTAGGCCATCAATGTGTACTTACATTTACGAGTCATTAAATCATGTTAAATCTGGACTCCTCTGTGCATGCTCTTTGATGTGGTGACCATAGACCTGCATTATATGACTGACAGACAAGAACGGTTTGACCTAAAAATATCAAAATTGAAACTACTGTGGAAACAAAGACACCTACATCTTGGATGCCCTTGAGGTAAGATAAAACATGCCAACAATTAATTTCAAAGTGAACTATCCCTTTAAAGTCCAATTGTGTGGTTGGATCAACCGTAAGGGGAACTTTGTTTAGGTGACATCTAACTTGTTTTTGCTTCTGACAGCCATCTTAATCAAGTCACCAATAATGTACATTCAAGTGTGAAACTAGAGATTTGTTACAAACGTGCTGTGTGTCATTTCAAACATACGTCTGATCTATCCCCTCCTCTCTCGAAGGTCGCCTCGGATTCACCCATCCCGGAGGAGACAGCCCCTTGCCCATAAATGGTATGTAATATTTTATATTGGTTTAGTGTGTGTGTGTGTGTGTGTGTGTGTGTGTGTGTGTGTGTGTGTGTGTGTGTGGCTCAAGCTGAAGGATGGGCTGGACAGACCCAACAAGCTGATGTTAAAATAGTCTGCATGTTTCTGTCAAGGAAGTACTAAAATAGGTTTAGTTTGGAGCACTTTGTCTAACTAGCTCAGTGGACATTTGATTTGCTGATAGGACTTGCCATTTTAGCTTTAGCATTTCATTTGAATGTATTTGAGACATGAGGTAATGCAAATATTAATAGTTTGCAAGTTTCACCTAAATGAAGGATGTATATCATCATATAAGTGTGTATTATCTTGCGCAAAAATCTCAATCAAGCTTGTTTTTTTGGATGTACGAACATTATTTTTTTAAATACGAGACACCATCATTTCCACTAGGCTACTTGGCTGTTGTTCCTAAGTGAATTTCAATTGTTTAATGCAAAATGTAAAATGCTGATGTGATATGTATTGCACATGAAAATACATGTTTTGACCAATTTTTTTTCTCTTAATGAAACTGAAGTATTATATTATTTAAGTATTACATTTATATGCACCTATATTATATATTAAGTAGCAATAAATGGCAGTATCTGCAATATATCTTTACAATTATATATATAATATTTTATCAACATTTGTGGATTGTTTGAACCGTGAGTAAACTTCCTACGGTAAGAAATGCTAATAAACGTGCCAATACTCAGTGGTTACCGGCAGCAGTTTGACAATCCGGACGGTTTAGTTTGAGTCTTGTTAACGGTGTTTGAGCACTTGGCCAGCAAACTGTGTAAACTGTAGTTTTTGCAGGATTTTGATCATATTCATCCAAATGAGAGTCGGCTAACTGATCTAAACTGGCACATACTTTTCAACACATTAGTTTAAAACATGAAATTGATTCAGTCAGGTTTGGTATCGTAGTTCCACTGTTCATTTTTATTGTTCAGTCAGAAAGTTCACCTTTTCATTGGGGATGTGTTACTTCACATGTGGTCATTTTATCTTACATGCAGCACGGAATTATGGGAGGCGACGAGGTAAAGAACTTTTAACGAATCCAAATGAGCAAAATGATTAAGACTTTCAAATTACCATAATTATCGGTGGAATAATCCAGCATCTGCATGAAATGTTTGGGGCATCTCTTATTGTTTGCATGAACACTTGCAACCTTCATTTCCATTTGTGTATCGATTGTGTGCCTCTTTTCTACTTTTTTTTTTGGTGAAGAGTAAATTTGATTGTGGCTTTTCTGTGGTCTGTACACCCCCCCCCCACACACACACACACACCCATCCAGGCCACAGTTGTGACTAAGTCCCTTACATAAGTCTTGTAAAGCAGCTCAGGCTGTGTTGTGTCATGTCAGGAGGAAATCTGCTGGAGTGGCTTGAACTAGTGGACTAAAGCTCTCGGCCTGTTACTGAACGCCCTGTCTGTGTCCATCAACCAGGCGTCCCCGGCGGAAAGATCATTTCTTTATGGCACTTAGACAGGCAGATTCTATGCAATTGTGTTGATAGAAATAAAAACAAGATACTTTTCTAGTTTCAACGTTATTTGTAGTTTAGAAATGTCTCTTTATCAGCTGTATGCAGAGTGACACACGTTTGTTTTCTGACCACTGAAAATGTGGAACAGCATTAAAGGGTTGGTTCACCCAAAAATGAAAATTCTGTCAGTATTTACTCACCCTCATGTTGTTCCAACCCCGTAAGACCTTCGTTCATCTTCGGAACACAAATTAAGATATTTAAGATATTAAGATCGCTCCTGCATACTAGTCCATAGGCTTCTTGAGGGACTGGCTCTTGCTGTCCTCGAAAAGTCATTAAAGACACCGTTAAAATAGTCCAAGTGACTACAGGGGCTCAATCTTAAGTTTATCAAACGACGAGAACACTTTTGTGCGCAAAAAAAACAACAAAAATAACGACTTTATTTCAACTATTCGTTTATTTCTCCCTCTGCGCGAGTCAGGTTACTAGTTTAATAGCGTAAGCTTCTGTTATTGTACGTCACACGCATCACACACACATGACCAGCGTCGGCCAATAGTGAGCCTACGTGTGACGTAGCTCTACGCAATCACACTACGTTAACTGACTACAGGCTCATGGAGAAGGAAGTGAATAGTTGAAATAAAGTCGTTATTTTTGTTGTTTTTTTGCGCACAAAAGTGTTCTCGTCGTTTGATAAACTTAAGATTGAGCCCCTGTAGTCACTTGGACTATTTTAACGATGTCTTTAATGACTTTTCGGGGACAGCAAGAGCCAGTCCCTCAAGAAGCCTATGGACTGTATGCAGGAGCGATCTTAATATCTTAAATATCTTAATTTGTGTTCCGAAGATGAACGAAGGTCTTACGGGGTTGGAACAACATGAGGGTGAGTAAATACTGACAGAATTTTCATTTTTGGGTGAACTAACCCTTTAAGATTTCCATATCTCTGCGATTGAACCCAATAGGACATTTAAAAAGATGTTCTTGTCTTTCTTTCTTCAGTCGAAAATAAATTAAGGTTTTTGATTAAAACATTCCAGGATTTTTCTCCATATAATGGACTTCAGTGGAAACCAAACGGTTCAAGGTCCAAAAGACAGTTTCAGTGAAAACTACAAACTGTTCAAAGGGCTTTAAACGATTCCAGACGATGAATAAGGGTCTTATCAAGCAAAAAGATCGCTCATTTAATAAATAAATAACAAAGTTTAAGTTTTATAAGCTCAAATGCCTGCCTTGCTCTCTGCGTGACTCTCCTGTTCGAACTCGTTCATCAAAATGAACGAATCTTTTTCCAAGTGAATTCGTTCATTTTGTTCATTGAATCAATCAAATTACTTGAAAAGAGATTCATTCATTTTCATGAACGAGTTTAGAACAGGAGAATCATGAACGTGCATCTCAGAACATTTTGTTTTTAAATGAGTGATCGTTTCGCTTGATAAGACCTTATTCATCGTCTGGAATCGTTTAAAGCCCTTTCAACAGTTTGCACTGAAACTGTCTTTTGGACCTTGAACCGTTTGGTTACCACTGAAGTCCATTGTATGGAGAATAATCCTGGAATGTTTTCATCAAACACCTTAATTTCTTTTCGACTAAAGAAAGAAAGACATGGACATCTTGGATGACATGGGGGTGTGTAAAAAGTTTTTTTTAAAGTGAACTACTCTTTTAAGATATCTTTTAAGCTTTTTGAGTTACAGGCATGCAAGCTAGTTTTGAAAGGACACCATTGGCATATAATGCAGTAAAGATTGTTAAAGTCAACAGATTTCAATTATCGACAAGACATGCCAATCTCTGTGTAAAAAATAAAATAATGTTGCTGCCAACTTTATAAAGTCATTCTTACCCCGCTGAAATTCAGATCCAAGTCTCAGGTCAAAACTCATTTTGACCACCCCCTCCTCTGCAAAATATTGGATTACTCAGTCGATATACATTCGTGACATTGAACATTTTGGCTTTGATTACTATTTATGTTTGTCTTTCTTATGAAGAAATATTATCAAAATCTATCATTTTAGCTGGGGAAGTTTCTGAAATATGGTTGATTTGACACGGGATGACCCTGAAGCTTTAGTACATGAACATGCGCTGCCCATTCACACATTCTTTTAATTGTAGAAATGAATTTCTACAATGCAGAGTACATGTATCTTTGAAATATTGCATGAATATTTCAAAGATACATTTGTTTTCAGTTCAGGAATCTAGTTTCTTCCTAACTAATATAGTACATTTAACTTGAAATGTGAATCTGATTTAATTGAATTCTGTTCAAACTTTGGGGTCAGTAAGATACTTCTATGTAGCAAGGATTCATTAAATTAGAATTAGTCTGTAAAGACATTTATAATGCTATAAAAGATTGCTTTTTCAAATAAGTGCTGTTCTTTTAAACTTTCTATTCATCAAAGTATCCTAAAAAAAAAAAACCATCTTTTCAACATTGAATAATATTGAATGATTTTTACACAAAATTATGACACTGAAGACTGGAGTAATGCCAGGAATAGATTTCATTAAAAATGTCATATGAAAATAGAGAAGTAACTTTAACTTGTAGCAGTGTTTCACAATATCACTGTTTTTACAGTTTTTTTTTTTTTTTTTGGAAAATAAGAAGAACAAATCTTACCAACTCCAAACATTTGAACGCTAGTGCACACACACACACACACACACACATCCTTCCTTTTAACACAACTCTCTGTGTAGAAAATGGCCATTGGACTGAAACTGTGGGCTATAATTGGTCTGATTACAGGATACACAGTAGCCATAATTCAGAAATCCCTACGCTTTTCAAAATTACACGACCAAGTTGATGCAATTATGTGTTTCTTGGGCTCAGAATAATCCCCCCATGTGGTGCACAGATATTGTAACACAGATGATAGTCCCTGCTCTCACTCTCTCTCTCTCTCTCTCTTCAGGACACTCATCCCTGTTCCCGATGGAGGATGGTTTCCCGGACGAGGAGCGAGCGGATCAGAGCCTGCCTGGCCTGGGTTCCCCACACTGCTTCCCTCACCAGAACGGAGAGCGGGTCGAGCGCTATTCTCGCAAGGTCTTCGTGGGTGGCCTCCCCCCTGACATCGACGAAGGTATCGCACGTGTTTTGGGTGACCTCTACTCTCATGCTTACGAAAACAAAAACAGGTTTCAAGGTTCTTTGTTAGCTTTGGGACTCTTTCTACGAAAGTTGCTTGCTCTTATCTGCTATGTTATCTGTTCCAGATGAGATAACTGCTAGTTTTCGCCGCTTTGGGCACCTGTTTGTGGACTGGCCTCACAAAGCAGAGAGCAAGTCGTACTTCCCCCCGAAAGGTGAGCTGAGAGTTTGGCACTGGGGGAGATCGGACCATTTCGAGAAACAGTCATTAAAGGAGTAGTTCACTTCTAAAAAAACCCTTGCTGATAATTTACTCACCCCCATGTCATCCAAGATGTCCATGTCATTCTTTCTTTAGTCGAAAAGAAATTAAGGTTTTTGATGAAAACATTCCAGGATTTTTCTCCATATAATGGACTTTCAATGGTTCAAGGTCCAAAAGACAGTTTCAGTGCAAACTGCAAACTGTTCAAAGGGCTTTAAACAATTCCAGACGATGAATAAGAGTCTTATCAAGCGAAAAGATCGCTCATTTAATTAATAAATAAATAAAAAAGTTTTATAAGCTCAAATGCTCGTCTTGCTATGTTTTGTGATGCGCGTTTGTGACTTTTCTGTTCGAACTCGTTCATCAAAATAAACGAATCTTTTCCCGAGTCAACTCGTTCATGTCGTTCGTTGAATGAACCAAATGACACGAAAAAAAGACTCGTTCATTTTGATGAAGTCCATTATATAGAGAAAAATGCTGGAATGTTTTCATCACAAACCTTAATTTCTTTTCGACTGAAGAAAGAAAGACATGGACATCTTAGATGACATGGGGGTGAGTAAATTAAAAATTATTAAAGTTTTTTTTTTTTTTTTAAAGTGAACTACTCCTTTAACAGTAACCAATGTTTTAGTTTCTGCTGGATTGATCACTTCATAAAAGGATAGCTCACTCAAAAAAGGACAGAAACAGAAGTAAAGAGATTTTTAATAGAGCTGGGCATTGAGACAAACTTCACGATTCAATTTTGATTCATAAGCTTGTGATTTGATTCAAATTCGATCCGATATTGATCAATTAGATGGCAAATTTCATCAAGGACAAAATAAAAATCTCTCAACTAATACGGGGAACTATACAGGGAACCCCATGCTACAGCTAGCATACTAATCCTAATGAGTGACAAAATAACGCAAACATTTTCCTATTTACATGTTGTGATTTGTATAGTCACAGAGGGTACAAATCACAAGGTCATATGAGACACAGCCATCTTTTAACCATATAAATATTGGGAACTATATTCTCAAAAGGTGAAGCACTGCTACTTGGGCGGAGTGATTACCGCATCACCTGAGACGCACTGTAGCAGTGCTTCGCCTTCTGCTATTTGTACACACTGGGACTATACAAATCACAACATGTAAATAGGAAAATGTTTGCTTTATTTTGTCTCTTATTGGGACTAGTGTGCTAGCTGTAGCCATTCACATCCAGTCTTTGTGCTAAGCTAGGCTAGCGGTGGGTGCGAGATGAAAAAGGTATGTATGGACTTATCAAACTCTGAGGGATAGAGTGAATAAGCTAAAGTCCCAAAAAGTTGGAGTGTTCCTTTAAATGGTTCATGTCATAAAAACATGAATGATTTAGTCAAACACACATTTAATATCAAAGAAGTTTAAGTACAACGAATATGCAATATAGTGCATGTATTTATCAAAATGCGCCTCTCTAAGGTGAATGGCTTCTCTGAGGTAAATGTGATGTTACTTGATATTGTTTACAAGCTAATATTGATATTGTTTACAAGCTATTAATATTTCAACATACTTCTAATGTTCATTCATGATTATTTCGTGCTGTAACTAGTTATAAAGCAGAAGAGATGATCGCTCACGTGCCATTTCTCTTGAACTGAGACGCTACAGCGATCCGTAACATTAAAGAGCGCCAAACCTGTATTTATTGTTTGAATTTTGTAATGAAATTGACTGAATTTGAAATATAAAGCTTTGTTTCATAACTGAATTAACAAAGAACAAAGCTTATTACGATTTATTGGATGGGAGGCGCGATTCGAAGCTTATTTTATTCATCAACTGAAAACACCATAGACTGAAAGATCAATTTGTGGGATTTAAGAATCAATTTCATCTCATGTATTTTTTTCCCCAGCCCTTATTTAAGGAAGCCTGCGAGGCTTCTTTCCCTGCATTAAACGTCCAGTCCACTTGTAAATGCAATCCATATTCATTTGAGCAGTGAAGTATTTTCAAGAGACACAATCACTTAATATGATGGACAGTGAATATATGAATTAAGCATATAAATCAATCCCGTCTCTTCAGAAGACTTGGATTAAACGGCTTGATTCATTTCATTTTGGTGTAATGGACTTTCAATACAAGGACAGATATCTCACATTAAAATGATAATAATGTGTGTTTCAAAGATGTCTTATGACACGAGTTGTCACAATTTAGATTGTTGCGCTACCGATAGTGTTGTTTTGGTATCATATTCTTTTTTATTTATTCTTTTAATGTCACATTTAGTTTTTAACTCTAAAATGTGTTTCCCAAAGGTTACGCATTCCTCTTGTTTCAAGACGAGAGCTCAGTTCAAGCCCTTATTGATGCCTGCATCGAGGAGGACGGAAAACTCTACCTGTGTGTTTCCAGCCCCACCATTAAAGACAAACCTGTAAGGATGAAGTGCAGTTTGGAATTATTTTGCCCTGAACAACTGCACTTTTTGATTATACTGCCCTTATTTGTCCTCTTAAATGGATTTGAACTCGTAAAATGAATTCTTGTTTCGTAACAGGTCCAGATTCGCCCGTGGAATCTCAACGATAGCGACTTTGTGATGGATGGATCCCAGCCTCTCGACCCCAGGAAGACCATATTTGTGGGTGGAGTGCCACGTCCACTTCGTGCCGGTACGAGGCTTTGTCCTCTTTCAGAAATCAGTCGTTTCTGTGTGACGTCAAAAACATAATCACTTGTTTGATTTAATTTGTGCCTGGATGAACCAATCCAGCTCCTCTAGAATTCAATTCAGTGACTATTTTAGTGGCTCCCTCAACATTATTTATCGTTGAAAATGTGTGTTTTTTTTTGTTTTGTTTTTTAATATGAGGTATATCTGTAAATATTGCTGTAAATTAATTGTAATTGGTAATCACAAATGCACCTGTATCACAGAAGGTGGTTTACAAGATCTCTTTAATGTTCTTTATAAGGATATTAATAGTTAGAAATGTATAGAAATGCTTCGTTTTACTAATCAAACTACTGATTGTAAGCAAACGACACAGCGGGGAACGTTATACAGGGAAAATTATTATTGAAATGAAAAGGTATAAAGGATCATTTGTGTAATATTATTCAAATTTAAAATAACTGTTTGTAAATGTAACCTTTAATCCATAAAAACAAAGAATTTGAATTTTCAGCATCATTACTCCAATCTTCAGTGTCACATGATCCTTCAGAAATCAGTCTAATATGATGGGTTGCTGCTCAAGAAACATTTCTAATTATTACAATAGTGAAAACAGTTGTGCTACTTAATATTTTTGTGTAAACCATATTTGTTTGACGTTCAAAAGAACAGTTGTAGTCTAGCTAAACTCTCTCTTAAAGTGATAGTTCACTTTGAAATTAATTTTTGGTATGTTTTAGCTTACCTCAAGGGCATCCAAGATGTAGGTGTCTTTGTTTCCACAGTAGTTTCAATTTTGATATTTTTAGGTCAAACCGTTCTTGTCTGTAAGTTATAATGCAGGTCTATGGTCACCACCTCAAAGAGCATGCACAGAGAAGTCCAAATTAAACATGATTTAATGACTCGTAAATGTAAGTACACGTTGATGGCCTAAGACACGAAACGAGCGGTTTGTGTGAGAAAACGAACAGTATTTATATCGTTTTTACCTCTTGTAATCACAGCCACGTAGGTAAAAACGATATAAATACTGTTCGTTTTCTCACACAAACCGCTCGTTTCGTGTCTTAGGCCGTCAATGTGTACTTACATTTACGAGTCATTAAATCATGTTTAATTTGGACTTCTCTGTGCATGCTCTTTGAGGTGGTGACCATAGACCTGCATTATAACTTACAGACAAGAACGGTTTGACCTAAAAATATCAAAATTGAAACTACTGTGGAAACAAAGACACCTACATCTTGGATGCCCTTGAGGTAAGCTAAAACATACCAAAAATTAATTTCAAAGTGAACTATCCCATTTAACTTCTTGGTAATAGCATGTATAGCATTTCTGGAGCTCAAACTGAAGAGCATTTGCAACTCCAAGGCCAGGGTTCAATTCCCAAGGAAAGCAAGAACTGATAAGAACGTAAACCTGTACCTTGAAATGTAATGCAAGTCGCTTTAGATAAAAGCGTCTGCCAAATGCATACATGTAAATAAATGCAAAAGTAACATGGCAGGCTACACTTTTAAAGTAGCTTCCCCAAATGGGGAGTTGTCATTTCATTGGAGTATGTTTGTTGTATTGTATTGAGCATTAACCATGGAGTGTGTTGTGTTGCTGACAGTGGAGCTGGCGATGATCATGGACAGGCTGTACGGTGGCGTGTGTTACGCCGGCATCGACACAGACCCGGAGCTGAAGTACCCGAAGGGAGCGGGGCGGGTGGCCTTCTCTAATCAGCAGAGCTACATCGCTGCTATCAGTGCTCGCTTCGTACAACTGCAGCATGGGGAAATTGATAAACGGGTCAGTGCTGACATCCACAAAACACACACACGCACACTCCCCTTCCGTGACATGGCATTGATCCGACGAGCCTCACATACACTCAAACTCGAAGCCTAGTTAAGACATTCTAGATAGTTTTTTTGGCTGATGAACGGGTTTTAGTTGCGTTTCTTTTATGGCTGGGCTTTGACACAAATTTCACGATTCGATTTTGATTCGCAAGTTTTCGTTTATGGCAAAATTGCTCAACACAAAACTAATGCTGAAAACTATACAGGGAACGCCAGTGTGTACATCACTGTAATATTACTGATTTGTAGTTTTTTTTAAATAATAGTGTTATAATAATACATTTTTAATGACAATTGTTTCGGATCGAAACAAATCGATTTGATTCTTTAAAATGAGAATCGTTAAAAATCGTGAAATGGATATTTTAAACCAGACTGAAATGTTCAGGATATGCGTATCGATGATAAAATTCCATGAAACCTGAATAAATGGCATATTTCAAGACACAAAAGAGAAATTATATTTTAAGGTGCATTAAAAAAATTATTCATGTCAGTGGTTTCCCTTAAATCTCATTACAGTTGACCAGTTTTGCATTTGAGGTCAGTGTTTTTTTGACATCATTGAGATACTATTATAGTATGTGTTTTTTTGTGTGTAATTTTTACATGATTTTTATGTCTCTATAGATTTATTAAATTGTATTTTTGTTTTAGTTATTTAAATACATTACGTTAAACTAAAGAAAAGAAGCAAACTGAAACAAAGTAAGCTTCATTTTTTTTTTTTTTTTTGTATTTCAAGCAACAAAGGTTTTTTTTAAAGGTCTTCGTTTTAATTTCAGATGTTGGTATTTATAATTTGTGGTATTGTACTATTTCTTTTTACCATTTATCACAAAACAAAATAAAATCAATATCAATCAATAATCAATTGCAGGACGGATTAAATGAGCAATACACATTTTAGAATGCCAGCATGCACAGTACATAAAAAGTAAAACATAGTGTAAAAAGTGCTTTCATTATTTTTAATAATTCAAAAACATTTGCTGTCGTGACAGTTAATATTAAAGGAGTAGTTCACTTTTAAAAAAAAAACTTTTGCTGATAATTTACTCACCCCCATGTCATCCAAGATGTCCACGTCTTTCTTTCTTCAGTCGAAAAGAAATTAAGGTTTTTGATGAAAACATTCCAGGATTTTTCTCCATATAATGCACTTCAATAGGAACCAAACGGTTCAAGGTCCAAAAGAGAGTTTCATTGCAGCTTCAAACGACACCAGACGATGAATAAGGGTCTTATCTAGGACCCTTCGAGTCATGACTCGAAAAAAGTTTTGTTCATTTTGATGAACGAGTTCGAACAGGAGAGTCACAAACGCGCATCACAGAACAGAGCAAGGCGAGCATTAGAGCTTATAAAACTTAAACTTTGTTATTTATTTATTAAATGAGTGATCGTTTCACTAGATAAGACCCTTATTCATCGTCTGGAATCGTTTAAAGCCCTTTGAACAGTTTGCAGTTTGCACTGACACTGTCTTTTGGACCTTGAACCGTTTGGTTCCCATTGAAGTCCATTATATGGAGAAAAATCCTTAATTTCTTTTTGACTGAAGAAAGAATGACATGGACATCTTGGATGACTACTCTAAGAATAAAAACTACTTGAATGGAAAATCCCCTTTATTATCAACCGAAAAAAGCTAATATTTGAATAAACCTATACATTTGATGTGCTGGCACACCTGTGTGTGTAACCGTGTGCTGATGTGTCTCGCCCCCAGGTGGAAGTGAAGCCATACGTCTTGGATGACCAGCTGTGTGATGAGTGTCAGGGGACTCGCTGCGGAGGGAAGTTCGCTCCGTTCTTCTGCGCTAACGTCACCTGTCTCCAGTATTACTGTGAATACTGCTGGGCGGCCATCCACTCGCGCGCCGGCCGCGAGTTTCACAAGCCCCTGGTGAAGGAAGGAGGAGACCGGCCGCGCCACATCTCCTTCCGCTGGAACTGAAGCCGGTAAAGAGAGAGGAGAGAGCGAGAGAGAGAGGAGTCGCAGAATCATCATCGAAATAAATGCACTTTTCTGTTGCTGGTTCCTTTTTAGTTTAACTTAAAAAAAAAATATATATGATTTTAATTTGTCATTTAATATATTTAAACAAACAAAAAAAAAAAACCGGATGTGTATCCGAAAAAAAAGATTCAGGAAGAAAAAGAAAAATGTCTAATCCATCTCTCTATTTTTTTATAACTCCATTCTATTTCATTTTCGAGTGCACAGAGATGTGAATATATTGAGTATTAGTCTAATTTGTCAGTAAGTATCTGCATGACTTTTAGAATTGGCTTTTTGTTCACATTGCGATTGGAAGTATTACGTCCTACTTTAATCGAACGGAAAAGGCAAAGGTGCGTTGAAGAGTGCACTTGTTTCCTCGCCAGCCAGAGTGCAGATATATGTGTGTGGTCTAAGATCTGAGTTGTCAACCAAAGCTTGGGATTTGAAAACAGCCGAATTCAGCGAATTCTCTCAAACGCTCTGTTTCTTTTTATTCTTTTTTTTTTTATATATATACTTTAAGACCATGCTAATCTTTAATGTTTCCTGATGACAACACCAACAGCTGTCTGGATTCGATCTCCATTGTGACATGCAAGAAAACTAATACCTCAAGCTTAGCTGCTAGTTTAAGTCGAATATATAGAGAGAAAAATCAAAGCTGGTCTCACACTTCCCCCCACCCCCGCCCCCCAGGACCACAGAAAAGGAAATGACATCAGCAAACGGCACATTGAGAGAACCTGCTCTGTCACTTCCCGATTTGAATTGGAGATCCAGCAATCCTAGTGGGGAATGTATGTTGTTAAAGTTGCAGTAGTCCGCCTGCAAGGGCCTTGGTTTCGTCGCCGTCGTTCTCTCGGGCTTTCAGCGGCGAGCCTTTCGTTCTCGTTCTTTAACTCACAATATGTGTCTCGTAAGCCTTTTCCCCCCCCAGAAGCCCCGAGAAGAGGTGTACGTACAAGCGCAGCGGAAGAGAGGAAGACCGATCCGCTCAGCCTGAGTGTAAAGCATAACTGAAGGTAGTCCATTCATCTCTGCATTCCCAGCTTTTACTTTCCGACATTAGGGAACCAAAGACGGCTTGCAAAAACCACGGACGTTTCCTTTCTTTTAATTTTTTTGGCCCCCAACCCAGTCGTATGGGCTCCAGCAAACCAAAGATTGGCCTTGAAAAGTTAAAGTCCTAGTAACACTAGTGAGAAGTTGAAAACGACCGAGAGCGCAGAAGTGGATCCTCGCGTCGGCCCGACAGACCCGTTCAGCGCCGTCGCTCGATTTTCGAAGTTTAACGCTTTTTTTTTTTTTTTTGAAGTACGATGGCAACAAAACAAAAAAAAAGAAAAAGAAAAGATGATTATTTTATACATGGCCTGCTGATTTTTTGGTACAGTGTTTTCTAGCTAAATTATTTTGTCATGCACATATAAACATTTATTATGCACTACTTTTCTAAATAGGTTTTTTTTTCCAACAGTCATTTTAGGCACATTTTTCACGAATGGAAAAAAAAAAAATCTCCTTTTTGCAATACCTCAATTTTTCACATTGTGAAAGGTAGCTTTTGTACTTTTGTTACTGAGAGATGTGCATATATGGAAATTTTGATTTTAAGAGTTAAACGAAATTTAATATATATTATTTTCAATTATGCTTTTTATACATTTCAGTGCTGAGGAATCTTTACAACTAAAGCACGCACTTGTGTTGACGCGACAAATCTGCCGAGGAGAGGGGTGAAGTGCATTGCTTCTTGTACGCTAGATTTTAACGGCATTTGGGAAATTCAGCATGGTGAAGAACAACACGTCGTCGTTCGTGTTCGTGTCGCGCAAAAACGGCTCCATAGCTGGAATATAAACTATAGTAATATAAGGAGAATGCTAATCCGGATGGATGTTTGATGTCTAGGTATTTTAACAGTTGAAAATATATATTCTTGAACTGCCAACTAGTTCCTATTGTAATCCTTAGCAATGCATGACGAGAAGAAGAAGAAGAAAAAAAAAAAAACGAAACAACGTAGCTATTGAATTAATTGTTGTGGTTGTGCACCAGATGTTCCCAAAGCTTTCGCTTAAGGCCACCCCACACCTCCCCCCCCCACGATATAGTCTCGATACGACGCACACACACACACACACACACTAAAACGATGAATTCGCAGCGCAGGACGAACGCATCTTCTATAGTACGCTGGTGAAAAGACTTGATCCCCACCGTCTGTTGGAAGTAAATCTAAACCCGTTTGGAGGAAGGGGAACTTAAGACTTGAATGTGGTAAATGTTGCAAGTTAACTTGGAGTTGTTATGTGCAATACTTTTTTTGAACTTTTTCCAGATAAAGACTCTTTGCAATGTAATTCTTTAATGCCATTTTTAATTGCCGACATTTAAAGAAGATGTTAATATGTTTTTCACAGTCATTTTCTACTGTTATTGTAATCCTTTTCATGCTGGTGTTTGTAAAAAAGAAAAGAAATGGAAACTATTTGTACTAATATAAATAATTGAAGTTATTTTTAAAACATTAAAGGTTTTGTGCTCATTTGCTTATTTTGTTTATTTCAAGCTACTGTGATTGATTGCATTGTAATTATTAGGTCAACAATGTATTTAGCTGTTTATTGGTATATTTTTAATTGGAATGTATAATTAATTTTTATAATTTTGATCAGATTTTTGTTATATTTTTGAGGTGAAGCTTTTAATATGTTAAAGTGTCTAGTTTTTACTAATTGCTATATTGTGCTCCACAATATATGGTTCACATTTTCTGAAGGAAAATAAATATTTAAATATCTGTCTGTTAACGATGTTACTTAATGGCAAAATTTCAATAGTTTTTAACTGTGTATGGGAAGGTTGTCGTATTTATTAATAGCATATTTTTTTTTACTTAAGATATCACCTTAATTTTTATTGTCATTTCACTTTATAAGTTCCTATTTTTGTATTTTTCTTTCTAATTAAGTTATGTTATACAAAAATGTCCATATTCTAGGAGTTGGTCTGTAAGTGCTAGTGAAACAAAAAGAAAAATCTAATGTTATTTAATTGTTTGCAGCCAACTATTTATAACAATATGCATAATTTTTAAATATTTGTAATGTGAAATGTTGAATGAATAAAACTTAACTGTGACAAGACACCGACTTTTTTGCGTTTCTTGCCTCGTCTCCTCCTCGAGATATTCTCTGTGTTCATCAATTCGTTCTACTCTGAATTGATTTTTGTTCGATTATGTGTTTGTTCGGAGCGTTTTGTAATCGCGGCGCATTGTAATGTTGACCGGGGAAGCAGTCGGCATTGTCATCACAAACCCAAAGTAAGCGCTTTGTCTGAAAATGATGGTTTTATATGGATAATATTTGTGAAATAGCCAATCATGATAGGGGCTGTTGACTGACGAGTCTTAAAGGGACAGTACACCTGATTTACTCGCCCTCAAGTCATCTTTGGTCTGTATGACTTTCTTCTTTCAGCGAAAAACACAATTGGATTATATTAAAACATATCCTGTCTCTTCCCAGCTTTATAATGGGAGTGAACGGTACCGTGTTTTTTTTTTTAAGCCCCAAAAAAGTGCATCCATCCATCATTAAAGTAACCCATACAACTCCAGGGGTTAATGGTGCATTCAAGTCATCTCGTATAGATCGTATTTATGAGTTGAACGCACTTGAATGTCGTAAATACCAGTGGGGAGCTCGGGAACATGGCGGAATACCACGATACTTAAATATTTTGCATTGATATTGTAAAGGTTTTCTTATTTACAGCGCAGTTAAGCGAATAGTCTGCTCAGAATATGATGCCATTATAATATAAAGTTGGCGATGTCATGCGTTTGTGTGAGAAAAACACTAAATTATAACTTTATAAACTATAATCACTGGCTTTCGGTAACGTCCGTATGGCAGTCTAGTTCGGGTGGAAGAGTGACCCCTGACGCATAAGCTTTGACGCCTCTCACAGTTCTCCCACATTTCTCTTTAATAATTCTCCTTTTGGACTCTAATTTGTGCCCGGGGTTTTGATTTGCTCAATCCTCTCTGCGCTTCCGCATTCATCAATACGTCATGCGTCAGGTCGGAGGTCGCTCTTCCTCTGTTATTTTTCTTGGAATAATACATGGCTTCGCTTCAAAAGGCTTTTATTAACCCCTCAAGTCATATGGAGCACTTTTATAATGCGCTTTTTTTGGGCTACAAAAAATTGTACCATTCACTCCCATTATAAAGCTGGGAAGAGCCAGGATATGTTTTAGTATTACTGATTGTGTTTGGCTGAATGAAGAAAGCCATATACATCTAGGATGGCTTTAGGGCAAGTAATTCTTAGGATCAGTTTCATTTTGGGGTGAATTAACCCTTTAAAGGAGCTGCCCCTTAAAAACAGATTGTTTCAGGCAAAGGGTCAAAATGAAGGTAGAACATAATCGTTTTATGGATATATCCACTCACCTAAAGGATTATTAGGAACACCTGTTCAATTTCTCATGAATACAATTATCTAATCAACCAATCACATGGCAGTTGCTTCAATGCATTTAGGGGTGTGGTCCTGGTCAAGACAATCTCCTGAACTCCAAACTGAATGTCTGAATGGGAAAGAAAGGTGATTTAAGCAATTTTGAGCGTGGCATGGTTGTTGGTGCCAGACGGTCTGAGTATTTCACAATCTGCTCAGTTACTGGGATTTTCACGCACAACCATTTCTAGGGTTTACAAAGAATGGTGTGAAAAGGGAAAAACATCCAGTATGTGGCAGTCCTGTGGGCAGAAATGCCTTGTTGATGCTAGAGGTCAGAGGAGAATGGGCCGACTGATTCAAGCTGATAGAGGGCAACTTTGACTGAAATAACCACTCGTTACAACCGAGGTATGCAGGAAAGCATTTGTGAAGCCATAACACGCACAACCTTGAGGCGGATGGGCTACAACAGCAGAAGACCCCACCGGGTACCACTCATCTACACTACAAATAGGAAAAAGAGGCTAGAATTTGCAAGAGCTCACCAAAATTGGACAGTTGAAGACTGGAAATATGTTGCCTGGTCTGATGAGTCTCGATTTCTGTTGAGACATTCAGATGGTAGAGTCCGAATTTGGCGTAAACAGAATGAGAACATGGATCCATCATGCCTTGTTACCACTGTGCAGGCTGGTGGTGGTGGTGTAATGGTGTGGGGGATGTTTTCTTGACACACTTTAGGCCCCTTAGTGCCAATTGGGCATCGTTTAAATGCCACGGCCTACCTGAGCATTGTTTCTGACCATGTCCATCCCTTTATGGCCACCATGTCCCCATCCTCTGATGGCTACTTCCAGCAGGATAATGCACCATGTCACAAAGCTCGAATAATTTCAAATTGGTTTCTAGAACATGACAATGAGTTGACTGTACTAAAATGGCCCCCACAGTCACCAGATCTCAACCCAATAGAGCATCTTTGGGATGTGGTGGAACGGGAGCTTCGTGCCCTGGATGTGCATCCCACAAATCTCCATCAACTGCAAGATGCTATCCTATCAATATGGGCCAACATTTCGAAAGAACGCTTTCAGCACCTTGTTGAATCAATGCCACGTAGAAATTAAGGCGAAAGGGGGTCAAACACAGCATTAGTATGGTGTTCCTAATAATCCTTTAGGTGAGTTGTTTTTGTTTGTTTTTTGTGCACATTTTTTATTAACAAGGAACATATTAAAATAGTTTTAAAAAATCTTATAAATATGCATTGCTTTATAAATCTGGGTGTAGTCCCATAGCATCAGTAAACTATTTCTTTTGTTCTATGATTAGATTGTGTGTTGCAATTCATCCGTTCTCAGTGGCACCCTCTGCTGTCTCTGATGAGACATGCAGCTCTTTGTCTCTACAACTTATAAAGCTTTTGAATTTGTCCTTAGCCTCTTTGTCTTAGCCATTTTCAGAGTATGTTTACATAAAACAAGTTTGACAATGACATTCATGTAGATGTGCCATTTTGCATGTCTTATGTCTTCATTTATGTCAATTCTACAATATTCTCTAAACATACAGAGCCAAATAAATGATTTAACATGGTCAAAATAAAGAGAAATCAAAAGCAAATGGAGGACAAATTCACTAGCACAAATTTCTGTTCTCAAAATCTCTTTTTATTAACCATTATTTTAATTTGCAGCATTTTTCACCTCAATACTCCACAGGAGATCAAGTATCTCAACGCTTTGTGATTTTACCAGTGGCGTTTTCATCTGTTCCAGTGATGTTTCTTTGTCTAGGTCTCACGCAGGTTGTGCTGTCTCGCTGAGGTAATGAATATTCTGATCTGGTCTAATGAAACACTGAACATGCCTCACTTGTTCCCTGATATCTATCCAGCGCTGGGATCAGTGGAATAATGGAGTGAGAGAGATGAGGTCACCCTGGTCTCTGGAACAAAGGTTAAGTACTGTGGTCGGTCGCAGCGATGATCTGTTCCCCATGAGACTGCGGGACAGGAGCCGCGCTTCAGTGGCCAGAGGTTTCAATCACACAACTCGTTTGGATGATCAACAGAAGCTGTGTACACACCCTTTTGCAGGAGTTTCGTTATGAATATTTCTTTGGAGTCCCTTGTGTAAAAGTAGTACACTTTAGCAAACTTAAAAAAAAATAATTGCATGGTATTTCCAACTAAATTACAATGTATTGTAGTTCATTTTTATATTAAATGAAATTATTTGAATGTTTTTTTTTTCAACCCACTTAAGTAGGACTTTTCCTAATTCATAATTATTTATATTTGTCGTTGAAATGTTAAAGTGTGCTGTTGAATGTACTTAACGTGTGCATGTAGTACATTACATATTCGTATAGGTGAAGTTGCAAATATTAACTTGTTTAAATAATAGATTAATTAATAACTAATTTAAATGTAATATCAGAAAACTTAGACTTAAATATAGGCTATTTACATGTGATGGACTGTTAGTCAACGCAGCTAAATAAGTTAAAGCGGGACAAAAAAATCAAGTTTTTATGTTTATGAGGTGTTTTTAATATGCTTTAAGACAAACCAATATATATATACATATACACTACAGTGAACCAAAGACAGTATCAAAAAAGTGGTTTAAAATTGCTGGCGTTTATGATGTCACAAACCTTGTAACCAATCAGATCAACGTGTCGGCTATGTTATGTCTATTTTAATTTTTTTTTAAATAGACCTGTCTTTCCAAATGGTTTTCTCTTGTTTTCTTTTTTTAAAACATTTTGACACAGCTGCACTTTTCTTTTCTTTTTCTTTTTTTTTTTTTTAATATAGTTAGTTTGTATTTAGAGAGTTAATTCAATAAATTGGAACATTTTAAGCTTGTTGCATATTCTCATCTCAATCTGACTGCCTGAGCTTTGGTCAGCAGGTGTTCTGGAGCCTCCAGATCTGATCTCAGATCTGTTGTTGACCAGATGAGAAGGTCCATGCTGTTTATCATCTGTGCTGGACCCATCCATGGATGATCCTATACTGTAAGAAATTTTCTATAAATTGTACAGTAAAATACTGGCAGCAGGGTTGCCAGCCAGTTCCTGTATTTTTTTACAGTACAGTTCTGTAATTTACATTTCCTCTGATTACAGTAAATAACTGTATTTTTTAATTGTTGTATTTTTTTTACAGTAAGTTACATGAATCTTTGTATTAGCTATATCTAGAGGAAGTTTGTAAAATGCAGTATATACAATATATTTTCCTGATTTTTGAACATTAATGACTGGCAGCTGAATTTTAAATGTTAATTATTTATCAACTGCATAAGCTTTAAACAATTGTTTTTAAACACATTAAGTGTTATATAACCCACAACTTAATTCCCCTATTACTTCACAAAACAAATTATTCAACATCCTAATCTTAAAAAACAGGTCAAAATTTATTTAATTTAGTTTATTAGTTTATTTATTAATATTTATAATATTATTTATGTATTATGTATTATTTTGATTTCATTTTTATTTATAGACTTTTTTAAAAATAGACATGAAATTAAATATTTTAATTACTTGAAACATATTGGCCGTCATGGCCCTTCACACAAAGAAGAAATACGCAAATGACATTGCAAGTTGACCAAAATGATCATAATAAAATGTTTGTGAAAAACACAGACACAAATTAATTTTCACCACTTCATTACCAGACAAACATGTCCAAACAACAAGGCCCCAAGTGAGTCCAAAAAACGTATAATAAAAAATTAATCTCCAGATGCTGTTCCATCACAGGATGCAAAGAGTGGCTAGACATATTGAAAAGGACAATAGATTAGATACATTACAAAACATTATGATACAGTCAGAGACAGACAGATACTGTACAGTTAAAGTCAGATAAAGAATATTAAAAGGTCTTATCATGCGAAACGATCGGTTATTTCAAAACTTATTCTGAAAATGTAACTTTTCTAAGGACAAATGCTAGCCTTTCTCCATTCTGTGAGGCGCGTTTGTAACGTCACGCAATACGTAATTACGTTCAAAAGGTCACGGGCGACGTAGCCGGAAGTACAGAATCAAAATCGTCCGACATCGTTGTTTTACCTTTTAATTCCTTTTTTTGTAAACGCCGTTTGAGTTAGTTTGCATGTTCAACCTATGCGTTCAACTTGTAAACACTCTGACTCTGTACTTCTGGCTACGTCGCCCGTGACCTTTTGAACGTAATTACGTATTACGTGACAATACAAACGCGCCTCACAGAATAGAGCAAGGCTAGCATTTGTCCTTAGAAAAGTTACATTTTCAGAATAAGTTTTGAAATAACCGATCGTTTCGCATGATAAGACCCTTATTCATCGTCTGGTGTCGTTTAAAGACATTTGAAGCTGCACTGAAACTGTTATTAACTGTCTTTTGGACCTTGGACCGTCTGGTTCCCATTGAAGTCCATTATATGGAGAAAAATCCTGGAATGTTTTCATCAAAAACCTTAATTTCTTTTCGACTGAAGAAAGAAAGACATGGACATCTTGGATGACATGGGGGTGAGTAAATTATCAGCAAAAGTTTTTTCAAAAGTGAACTAATCCTTTAATTACAGTCTTGTGCTGTTTTATAAAGGCACAATGTCATATCATTTTGGTGTTGGGAAAAGGGAAAAAAAAGAGAGAGTTCGGCAAAAGGCGGATTCGAACTCGGGTCGAACGCTGCTTACAAGCAACTCACGCCTTCGCCCTACGCCACTGTAGATATTCAGTGAAAGATACGTTTTGCTAAAAAGACAGGCACGTAGTGCAAATGTACGCTCTCAACTCACGTTCAAAGTCATAGACAGCACAGCGTTTCTCTGTGCATCGCAAAAGCCTGTGTTGACAGTTTGTTTAAAGTCCCCGTGAAATCAAAATTGAACCTATTTACTTTGTTAGCGCATATTACTAGTCTTGTGGTGAACAATTAATCCGTGCAAGTAAAAATATATTTAAAAAATGTTTTACCTTGGTAATCTTTAATCAAAATCTGAAAAGTTACTTCCGGTCTGGAACGGTTTCTTTTTCTGATGACGTAGGTTTCACAGTTTGGGTGGGGAAACGCTTAACCACTCCCCTCAAACCGTTAGTTTGCTCTGAGCGAGAGATGGAGAGTAAAACCCTGCCCTCTGTTCAATATTCCGTTTCACTTGGAAATACGTCACAGCACTGGAGAAAAATCGTTTGCAACTTCCGGTTCACGGGGACTTTAATATAAAGCGGGGGATTCAGTATTTTGCTCGTGCCCTGTGTGTGTTGTAGCCTAGGCAACTGTATCACCTGTCGTTTGAACTGACGCGCTACTGAGATACATCTTGGATGCCCTTGAGGTAAGCTAAAACATACCAAACATTTATTTCAAAGTGAACTATCCCTTTAAAGAGGCAAGGGTGTAGTTATATTCAAGCTGTTTTAAGGCATAAAGGTTTTTTTTTCTTACAGGAAAAAAAACTTTAAATATGTAATTTTGATAATCAAAGGTGAGTTTTAAGCGATAGATTGACTACAGGGGGACTTTAAACGTAATTTAAAACGTTCTTTAATTTACAACTTTTAATTTTAAATGATTACAAAGTGATTTTTTTTTACCTAAATGTGTAACATTGTCATGAAAGTGTACTCTTAAGTGCACATGAAAGTGGACTGTGGTTCATTCGGCTGTGATATAGGCCTATAGCAAAGGAACATGAATGAATGTTGGTTTGTTGCACCCATACACCTTCAAGCATTTCTACATATGGGTGATTACCGTGATTTCACTGACACGCATGACCGAAAGTATCATCATTAGTTCAAAGGCAGGTATAACACAGTAATAATGCCCCCTCGTGGCTGGAGATGAAATTGACATGGTGTATAATTCAATTAAGTAGGCTACAAATATGCCTGGAGACAGCGCTGAGTAGCAGCCTACTTGTAATTAGATTATATTACATTTTAAAATGCTCAATATCAAACTATATCCTTTTTGATTGGTTACATGGTATTATTCACACAATGGCAATAATATATTGATTCTCTCTCTTTTTTTTCTTCCATCTTTTAAAATTTTCCTTTCTAAAAATGTCTACTTGAAATTGCAGACACACAACATTTGACCACTGGATTTACACGCATCATTTCTGTCACCCATATTTTCTTTCTCTTTGTATTTTATATCAATATGGTATACGATTATTTAAATCTATGTGATAAACGAGTTAGGTCAAAAGTAATCTAAAAGTAGTCAGATTATACCTAAAATGTGTAATGGATTTTTTAATAACAGAAGAGTATGTAAAAGTATGGTATTTGGGGTATAAGGCGCCCCTGCTATTGGAGCGAAAGACACAATAATTATAATGAAAATAAACTGATATTAAACTGGCTGACTTTTCCATTTTTGACAAGATAGGGGACATTTTTCTAACCACTTAAATGATTAATGTTTGCTCCATCAATGTTCAATAAACACACACACACACACACACACACACACACACACACACACACTCACACTGTCTGATCAGTTGAAAGACTATTTTGGTGTATTTTTACATTTTTCTAATTGTATTTAGTTTAAAATTATGCTAAAATGAAATGTAGTGATGGTTTAACTATTATATTATATTATATTATATTATATTATATTATATTATATTATAAAGAGGCCACACAGGTCTGAGTGTTGAAAGGATGAGGCTGAGAAACTGGTTGAGAAAAGAAAAAATTAGATTGGATTTGAAGGAATTATTACAAATGAATTCAGGGCATGTAGGATATAGAGCCATATTTGTCTTTTTGAATAAAACAGGTCTTAGTAGAAGGATATAAATTTTGTTGTCTTAGGAAATTGTATTTATTGATAATGTATGAATATTAATGATGTTAATGAATATTTATTAAAGTTATTTATTGGTGTTATTATGGTTTTATGTATTTATATATTTATTTAAAGGGCAGTGAGGAAAAGCCATTTTGATCCACACTCCATATCAGAAGGTGGCGGTAATGCACACCTAAAAGTTGTTTGCCAACCGCCAATAAAAAAGAAGAAGAAGAAGGTCTGAGTGTTCTCGTTGTTTCCGGTAGGTGGCGGTACGTCTTTTGTTAAGCATCAACAGACAGCAATAGAGAAGAAGACGAGGAAGTGCTTTATTTACATACTTTTGTTGTCATCTAAGAACTTCGGTAGTTGTTGTTTTATCATTATTATTTACAGCTTTAATCGCGTCAGGACCCGCTGTCAGTGTTGAGAGGGGTGCGTGTTCTCCAGTGGGCAGCAGCGGACAGCATTAATGGCCGAGGGCAGCAGCGGTAACCCGGGCAGCGCTCCTCCCGGAGACCCGCAGCTCATCGCGCTCATAGTGGAGCACCTGAAGAACAGAGGCCTGTTCGACGAGTTCAGGAGAGACTGTCTGGCAGACGTGGACACGAAGGTGATGTGAATGAATGGATGTACACTTGAACAGTCGTGGCCATGTCTCAAAAGCTGGTTATCTGCCTTCATAGACAGTATTTCTGCTTTTCAACTCTCGAGCACGCCTATAAAGTGTCAAGAAATGATTCCACTGTCCATTTTAGGCAGATTTCTTGGTTTTGAAACGAAATCTGTCTGTCTGCTTCTGTGTCTGTTTTTATGACATATATCCCTCTGTCTTGTCTATTTGTCTGTCTGTCTTTGTGAGTTATCTATCTATCTATCTATCTATCTATCTATCTATCTATCTATCTATCTATCTATCTATCTATCTGTCTGTCTGTCTGTCTGTCTTTGTCTATCTATCTATCTATCTATCTATCTATCTATCTATCTATCTATCTATCTATCGTTCTTTGTGTTCTATCTATCTATCTATCTATCTATCTATCTATCTATCTATCTATCTATCTATCTGTCTGTCTGTCTGTCTGTCTGTCTGTCTTTGTGCGTTATCCATCTCTCTGTCTGTCTATCATTCTTTGTGTTGTCTGTCTGTCTGTCTGTCTGTCTGTCTGTCTGTCTGTCTGTCTATCTATCTATCTATCTATCTATCTATCTATCTATCGTTCTTTGTGTTCTATCTATCTATCTATCTATCTATCTATCTATCTATCTATCTATCGTTCTATCTATCGTTCTTTGTGTTCTATCTATCTATCTATCTATCTATCTATCTATCTATCTATCTATCTGTCTGTCTGTCTGTCTGTCTGTCTGTCTGTCTGTCTCCATATATTCAGTCTCATTCATCTCATTTAAACTGACATGAATTCATATTTCTTTCCAGCCAGCTTATCAAAATCTGCGACAGAAGGTGGACAACTTTGTGTCCACTCATCTCAGCACTCAAGAATGGAATCCGTCCATCAACAAGAACCAGGCGAGGAATGGCTTGAGGCAAAGCGTAGTGCAGTATGTATCCACTCTTTTATCATTTTTGTTAATTTTATTGTATTGTGCTGTAAGTCTGAAGTTTTGTTTTAATGCATTACATTATATACACTATGTACAACTGTTTAACGTTGGGAGTAATTTGCCTTTTCCAATAAACAGGCCTGTTAAAATAGGATGCCTTTTTTGCGTAATGTGACGTTTTAAAAATGCCATGTTAAAGGAAAAATAGCTCTAATGCATTACACAAGATTTATTAAATAAAAGATTATTTCCCTTTGCATTTTTATTGAAAGCATTTGATTACTCTCACAGGTCGGGGATGCTGGAATCAGGGGTGGACCGAATCATCACTCAGGTGGTGGACCCTAAACTGAACCATACCTTCAGGCCACACATCGAGGACGCCATTCATGATTTTCTATCCGCAGAGACGAGAGAAGAGGGTGCATCGAATTCAGCCCTCGATGCTGAACAACAGGAGATGACCAGCAACACTACAGCCAAAACACAATGAGGTAAGACACATTTATGCTAAGAAATACTGCAACATAATTATCTACAAAAAAATGACTTAATCTATACACTGATGAGCCAAAACATTATGAGCCGTCACTGGGGAAGCGATTATCGTTGATCATCTCCTAACAAGGCCACGTATTAGGGTCTGGGTAGATATCAATGTGTTGGATGCAGGAGAAATGGGCAGGAATAAAGATCTAAACGACTTATCGAGGGCCAGATTGTAATGGCAAGACGACTGGGCCAGAGTATCTCTGAAAATGCGAGGCTTGTGGGTTTCTCCGGGTCAGTGGTGCTGAGGATTTACCAACAAACCGGCGAGAGGGTGTTGGGCGCTCGAGGCTCATCGCTGAACGAGGGAACGAACACTATCCCGTCAGGTCTGAGCCAACAGAAGATCTACTGTAGCACAAGTGCCTGAGGATGGGCGCTATACCGGTATCAATGTGACTACCGGTATTATGTTGTAGCATGATATGGATTTTGCGATACCGAGAATACCGTAAATAAATTCAAATTTACCGTATAAAAAATACTGTATCATGATTTCAAATTTTTCAGTTATATTGTTTTGTTAAATTTGGTACTCTTTACAAGTTTTAACTAGGGCTGTCAGTTAAACGCGTCTAGATTATTAAGTGCATTAACGCAAACACATTTTAACGGCGTCAATTTTTTTCTTGGTCTTTTTGGCCTACCAAACTGTCGTTTTTTTTTCACATGCTTTTGCGCTATGAAACCCATTCATTTCAGTGGCTTGCACCGCGAAAAGTGCAAGCGGAGACCGGAAACAAAACAACAGGCACGCCGCACACACTTGTTTGGGCTTGCGAGCCGGCCAAATAGTTGGTTAACGTTAACGTTTTAAATGGATGACGAGCGTGAGACGCTGAAATGGATGCTAATAAGAATCTGAATGGAAAGTTTACTTTTAAAATGTTGCCAAATGGTCCCATTGACAAGACCAAAGTGATCTGTGTGTTTTGTCGTTGTGAACTGAGCGATCATCATCGCAGCACGTCCACTCTGAAACATCACTTGATGATGGCCAAGCACACACACACAGCTGATGCGACTTCTCCGCCCCCTCGTCAATATCAGGACCTCGTCAGTATTTCTTTCACTCTTTTATTGATGGACAGTGTTACATTGTGTGAGAGATTATTTGCTCCAAGTGAGAATGTTAGTGTGAAATTGAACATTGTAAATGCTAATGTTGTTTTCAATAAAAAACATTTGCACAAAGCAAGCCGATCCACTTTTCCATGTTGATAAGAGCATTAAAATGAGGAAAAATAATGGGACAAAAAGAAATCAGGTGACATTTAGAATAGATAAAAATGTGCGATTAATCGCGAGTTAACTACGGCATTAATGCGATTAATCGGGATTAAATACTTTAATCATTTGACAGCACTAATTTTAACATTAGGCCTACTAATGATGATAGAAAATCGAGGCTGAACTGAACGTTTAACCTTTTCCTCTGTGTCCAGCTCGCGATAAGCACAGGCATTAATAATCAAACACAGAGAGCATGGGAACAGTCCAGTGTTTCCCACACAGAACAATTCGTGCCAAGTCCGCCACATGATCAACACCGGCCTCCACATAATGAGTTTTGTTATTCATTTATTTTTTTTACGCTATTAAAACACTCAGTGTATTCGTTCTCTGTCAGAGACTCTTGTCTACACTCTTGTAGAGTTCATGCCTAAGTTGTCAAAAAGTACCGACTTCGGTACCAAGTTTCAGTTTTACCAAATTTTAACTTATAGAGCCTGCTTTCAAACGCTCCTGTGTGTATCTGTGTAAGCACTCGGTGAAGAGCGTCATTGATGTATATTTGTAGCCAATCACAGACATATCTGATCATAGATATCTATATAAAGGCTAGATGTCTTAAGGCGGAGTTTCTATCATCATCACCGGCGGCCATCTTGTCACAGGCAAGCTGATGTAAGATGAGTGGTCAGCACGAACACAAATACTCTTCTCTTGTTGAAATCTTGACGGATTTACAAACGGTTTGGTTTCTTGCAAACGTTATTAACGTGGCTATAATTATCTGGATGATTATTTGTTTATACACATATTATTCATAAGTATGCTGTGTCATAAAAACATCTCTGACGATTATAACAAACCAAACCGTTTGAAAATCGGTAGAAAATTGAGCAAGTTATGGTTATTTAAATAGTACATGTACCATTAACACAATGTTACGAGTCAGCTAGCTGCCTGTGACAAGATGGCCGCCAGGTGCAGACGTCGACCTCCATTGGCCAGCGGCGTGGACGAGATATCTAGCCTTTATATAGATATCTATGTATCCGATGAGCCTGTGAGTACAATGGCCAATCAGAGGCCAATCACACTGTTTAAATTTCTGTACAAACTTGGAACTGAAGTCTTGCAACTCTACCTGGAGCACACGGTGGATCAACAGCATGCCATGGTTTTAATGTTTTGACTCATCATCGGTGTAAAGTTACCTTGAGAAAAAAGTAGCTTCTATAATGTCAAATATTAGTGGAATAAAAAAAAAATGAATTGGTCCACCCTTAATATTGAGATTTTTGTGGCTGAGGCCAATATAAAAAATTCTGTACATATGTAACACCTGGTGTTTTTCCAGGTACAAGAATACCTTTGTGCTATTTCACATGGAGATCACCAAAAGTTGTCGTTCCGTGACTGGCTACAGAGGACGAACATTTGCTGGGCACTGGAACTTTTTGGATTTAAGTGGTTAGATTGGGTTGTTTTGCACAATGTGTGTGTGTTAAGCATGTTACATAAAAGCGAGTTGTTAAGCCCATGCTGTCTGGTTTAGTTTAATGAAGTGACATCTTAAGCACTAAAGAACAACTGAAGCTTATTTGTCCAAATTCAAATAAATGTTTTTGAAAAAACAGAGATTAAAAAAAGTACATCGAACTGAAGCCAGACGCAAATGATCCTTTTTACACAGCTGGATTTGTGAGATTCTTCTGTTTTGTTCTTGCTATATTCCAATGGGACTCATAGCATTGTTTGTTTCTACAATAAATGTAACTTTTTAAGAAAAGCCAAGTTGGTTGCATCATTTGTGGTATTGTAAAAGCTCTGAATCATTGCAAGAGGTTACGGTTTGTTGTGGGAAACATGCTACATAATGACATAGACCTGGACTCCTTTTAGCAATAGCATTTTTTGACAGGAGGTCTTTACCAGCGTTTTTTATGATTCCATCTGGACATTAACTAGAGCGGATAACCTCAAGAGTTCACCATGTTCTGTACCAAGCGTACAAGTGCAGACACAGTGTTACATGATTGAAACCATTTGAGGCTAAAAGCTTGTCCACCCCGAGACTGCATTTGAGTCTCCGCCGTCCTCATGGCATGAAATTCCAGAGAAGAGCTTTTTGGTAATGGACGAGCCTCTGGAGAGGTGTCATGTCCCGGCTTCGTACAAAGGTCGGCCGCTCCAGCTTGTTTCTGTCTCTCAGCACCTCAAGCACTGAGAACGTGCTGTACAGTGGGACTGCTAAAGAGCTGCGGTCACGTGTCTCGTCGCAGTGAAGCTCTTTGGATCTAAATTTTGCGGCTGAACTTGTTCAGGAATGAAATGCTCTTTTCTGGTCTGTTTAAAGGGGTGGTTGATTATGATTTCACATTTCTAACTTTAGTTAGGTTGTAATGTTGCTGTTTGAGCAGAAATAACATCTGCAAGGTTACGAGACACTCAAAGTTCAAAGCAAAGGGAGATTGTTTCTTTTAAAGAAATTGTTTGTTAAAGGTACAATATGCAGGATTTTTGCAGTAAAATATCCAAAACCACTAGGCCAATGTTATACATTTTGTTTAGTTGATTACTTACAATATTCCCAATGTTTCCAACTATTTGTAAATCATGAGAAAATTTTAACCAAGGAAATGGGGCGTGTGAGCAGTTGCTTGTCAATGATGTCATATTCGCATTAGCCCCGGTGTCGTGACCTCGGACAAACGTGGACAACTGAGTTATGCCTGTTGTACCTAGCAGGACGCTCATACTGTTTTTGTTTTGTTCAAACATTATGGACCATGGCAAGCAGACTTTGAGACAAAAACAGGACTAAAACGAAGATCAACGTCTTTCGAGATGCCGAGAGCTCTGCGTCCGCGACTAACTTCGACTTGACAGTGTTGTACGTACTTTATTAGACAGGTGAGCAAATGTAAATAAAACTAATCAATGTTGATGAAATGTTAGAATATGATCTGTATGTTATTCTAATGTTAGCCGAAAACAACCTAACTAACATTCAACACACTCAAATGGCGTTTAGTGTGATAGTGTAACTGTTAGAGCAAGTGAAACAGCGCTGCGTTACCTCAAGTTAAATTCGTCTAATAAACAGACCTGTGTGAGTAATTCAGCTCGTACGTGTAGTTCGGTAGAATTAAATGTCCTTATCCCTTTATATCCGCGGGACTCGCGTTGCGTGTGGCGCCGATAACTTATAACGTTACGTCTCTCGTTAGCAATCGCATCCTGCTTCATACTACAGTCATGTTAAAAAAAAACACATTTATTCACTCATCCATAAAAGATCCATCAGCTTGACAAGATCCATAATTCCGCTTAATGCTTTGCGTCATCGATATACGCCTTTGTTATTGTAAGAGAGTAGCGACCCCTGGTGGCTAAAAATTACATACTGTATAAAAGACTACAACAAACATCTGGTAGGGACTACAGGAGCTTCCTCCCGGGTTAGTGACATCACAAACTCTAACATTTACATAAACCCTGCCCCCAGAACCTGATTTATACATTGTGACAGAAAATGCTAATCAATGACTAGAAGATAACTACACATAAATTCATCAACTAACCATTCAAAAATGTCTTGTTGCAACATGACATCATGACTTTTGCGTAAACATACACACCACTTTCAAGTCAAGTGTTACACGCCGTTAAATGTATGAGCGAAACGAAGCAAAATGTAGATCTACATCTGGGGAGCGAACTCATAAATGCTATTAACCCCAGTGATGGGTAGGTTTAGGGATGGGGTTGGGGTAGGTCATATATTTATACAGTTATGTAACGTCAAGTCAACGGCATTCATAAACACGCTGAAAAGCGATTATGTGTTTTGATAGCACGCCAAAAATGGAAATACGAGTTGGTGTGTCATACATAAACCATTTCATGAGATCAGTCTGCCTGTTGCTTCTACAGATTGTCATTTCTTCACAACCCCGGTTTGAACATAAACATTGAAATTTTCAGTGCATGTGAGTGTGAGGTTAAAGGACAGGTGCTCTTGTAGCTTCGCCTGATGTGCCGGGAGCAGCAGCTCATTTGCATTTGAAGACACGAAAACCGTGTGTTTTTGCTCACCCTCAAAAAGAGACAATTTTAACATGCTATATAAAAATATCTTTGATATTTTGAGCTAAAACTTCACACACACTCTGGGGACTTGTCTACATCTTGTGAAAAGGGCATTATACCACCCCTTTAAATAAAGGTGACATTATGCCCATTTTCACGCAACTGTAAAAAATATCCGTGATTTTAACAGTAAAAGACTGTAAAAATGCTACAGTGCAAAACTGTTAATTGGTTAACAGAAAGTTTCCGTACTTTATACGGTAAATAACTGATATAATTTTACAGTAAAATACCGTTAAATTTAGCGTTTTTGAAAGGGAACAAATCGTTGTATAATTTACAGTGAAAAACCGTAAATTGACATTCCCACAATTCCCTGTGTGACACTTCACATTTGATGTATTTTTGTTGAAATAACTATAGTTCCTCATACTGTAGTTTTAGTGTTTTTTTTTATAATCAGTTATGTACATTAGGGTTTTATGTTACATTTAATGTTGTTAAATTAATGTTTATTGCATTTTTTAATTTCATGTGTGTTACCATGATGGTGTTTAATGTTTGTGTGAATGACACTGTGCAGCTTCTTTATATAAGTATTACTTAAATAAGTAATCACTTATGATGAGCTGTGATTGCTCAAGTAACTCTCATCACTGCTGTGATGATTGATGGTTGTCAGTGTATTACAATGGTCTAAAACAGATATCAATAAGTTGGTAAATCAACATTTTATCAGAAAATAAAATACGGTTTATTACTGTAAATTTTAAGTTAAGTCTGTAAAACCATTAACGTTCCTACCGTATTTTTAACGGTAAAGTTCTGGCAACCACAGCTGCCGTTTTTTTACCGTAAAATGTACGGTTTATTTTTTACAGTGTATGGTGTCCCCAGAATGTGTGTGTGAAATTTCAGCTCAGAATATCCCCCAGATCATTTATTATAGCTCGTCAAATGTGCCCCTTTTTGGGTGTGAGAAACAAATGCGCCGATTTTGTGTGTGTCCCTTTAAATGCAAATGAGATGCTGCTCAAGAACCTTTACATGAGAGTCGGATACTCCGGCACTAACAAAACGCGCGAATCTCGCTCATCCAAAATAACCAGTAGCGGATTGAAGGCTTACGGAGAGACTCGGGAAGAATTTGCAACTTTTAGACTGCATCGTTTCTGATTCATCTCATCGACTTAGCTGTACCGTCAGAGAAAGGCTTAACAAAACAAAGTTACTGGGTTGTCACTTTTCATGTTTTCTGGGTTGGTAGATGCATCGGTGACCCGATTATAGCACTTAAACATGCAAAAAGTCCGATTTTTTTTCATGATATGATATGTAAGTAATCTTAAAATAAATCTAATTCCTCTATAGAAGATTGGATTGTAAATATGGTCGATATAACGGGTTGTACACTGCTGTTGGTAAGGCCACATCCACATACTCCTCAATCACTGTGCTTGATAGTGAAATGTTTACTATAATAGCCCAGGTGCAAGCTCATGTTTCCAGCGCTGGTTCCTGGCAGTGTTACTGCCGACTCTGTCCTGACCCCAGCGTTCGTTCATGCCTATTAAGATGCTTTGCTGCTGTTCCTCCCCATCTGATGAAACCCGATGCTGTTCTCATTTGAAAGCCACAGTGGGAATTGAGGGACTGTGCCGAGCTTGTTTCTAAGCTCATAGTGGAGTACACCAACCTTTCAAACCTTTACGTTTTTGAGAGGAGTAAGAGTAAGACCAGTAGGGGGTGTGGTTTTACTGTGTTTGAAGCTTTTCAAAAACTCAAATGAATGAATGAAAAATCATTATTTATTCACTCTTATGTTTCTATTGAACATAAACGTTTTTTTAAGCATATTCTAGACCATTTTTTCTATACAATAAAAGTGATTGGACACTGAAGAAAGCACTATTAAAGTGGTTACACAAACCATGTTCTTTATTTCATGCCTTATGAAGCCATGCGAAAGTTTAATGTGATTGTGTGTTATTCACTTCGTTATTCACATCGTCGATGCAAAACAGCATTTGTTTATGCTTGGTATAGAGTATGTATATTAAAGAGATAGTTCACACAAAAATACAAAATAAAGAATGTCATTAATTACTCGCCGTATGTCGTTTCAAACCCTAAAGCTACACTGTGTGATTTTTACCCCCATCTAGCGGTGAAAAGGTATATCCAATGAATATTAGTTTCTGTTGCTCTCAATTCCGATTTCATTTTTACTCCTACGGTGGCCAATGTAGTCCAAGATTAACATGGCTTCCAGTTCGACCTCGTCCATGAGTGTTAACTAACCCTTACAAAAAAGAAGTATATTTCAAGTTCATTTTATGTAGTATACTTAAGTAATGTTCAAGTATATTTTTAAGTATACATTAGTAAGCATACTAATGTCACTATGTACTAGTAGTAAACTTGTAAGTGTACTATTTTAATACCGCTTGGGACAAAATTGGCCCACTTTTAGTACATAAAAGTGTACTATAAGTGTAACAGTAAGTGCACAACTAGTTCATTATGTATCTTATGTGTACTGCAAGTGAATTTATAGTTTACTTTTTCACTGTAATACTTATACAAGTATACTTTGAATACTTAATTATACTTTTAA